GCGCTACACAGAGATAGGCACAATCTCGTTGCCAGAATTCGCCGATTTTAAATTGCCGGAGCCGACAGAGGAAAAGAAAAAAGAAATGCAACGGGACAAACAGCTCACAAAAAAGAACAAAGCCGAGGAGGAACGCCGAGAGGCAACCGAGCAGGCGCGCCAACAAAAAGTGGCTGATAAAGAAGAGAGGCAACGCAGGGAAAAAGCTCGTGCCAGAACAGTGCCAGCCGAGAGCCAACTCGCGTGGCGAGCACATTTCTTCCGCGCAAATCACTCGATTGAAGTAGCGCGGAAGAAGCTCAAACAAAAGCAGCTGTGCCAGGACGCAGCGAAAATGGCAGTGCCAGAGAGATTGCGGCCGGAAGTGTCGCGCCGCCTACGACAATACATAGCCACACATGAGGAGATAGAGGAGCAGATCGACGCAATAGCGATCACCGAAACCATCGAGCTCCTGCAACATCAAGCCGAGGTAATAGCGAAGCAAATGGCAGAAGAGACCAAACACAGCACAACACAGCAACACAGCGCAGCTCAGCAGCACAGCGCAGTACAGCAGCACAACAGCACAGCGCAGCTCAACAGCACAGCGCAGCACAACAGCACAGCGCAGCACAACAGCACAGCGCAGCACAGCAGCACAGTGCAGCACAACAGCACATCAGCACAACGCAATGCAGCAACTGTACAGCACAGCGACATTGCAGCACAGCGAAACAACATAACAACATCAGCACAGCAATACCTGCAACAACGAACCGTGAGCGAGGTATTGCCACGTCCACGACAGACAACAAGCACAGTGGCCGAGAAAGGATTACCCGACCAGACGAACGAGCACCGCAGTGGAAATCCGAGAAGGATGTTTTACGAAAACAAGTACGACGTCCCTGGGATGGAGAATCTGCGGGACTTACTAACTAAGAAGTTGGTAAGCAAACAGTGGCACCCGCAGAATGAAGATCAACGGGAGTTGCTAAGAAGAGCACACCGTAAAGAATACGAAGGAAGGATGCTACGCGCACAGAAAAATAAATAAATAAGGAAGTGTTAGTGTCAGTGTTAGCCAAAAATACGTTTTTTTTGTGTGTTTTGAATGGAAGATGGCAGTCAAGAGGCAATCAACAACATGAACAGTTTTCGTGTTTTTCTTTTCTTTAAGTTATTTTTTTTTCTTTTTTTTCTTTTTCTTTTTTTTCTCCCTATTCTTTATAAAGTTATATAAAATATATTATTATTTATAGAATTATCTCATTATTTATAGAATAATATTATTATTTATAAAAAAAAAAAACTGAACCTACTTTACTTTATAAGCATTTTTTTTTTCTTTGTATACCATCTTGCGCCACAACAAAAATATGTATCAACAGCGACAAAAAATTACCTTTTTATTTTTTTTAAATTATGTTAATTAATTACATTATTTTTTGTAATATAACAGGCTGCCGTTTAGTCTAAAATATCTCTTAAACGTACCTATATAACGACTAAACGACGCCTAGTTATCTATGTGCTTGAAGCACATCAACCTACCTTGTCTTGGAGTGCGCCTGCGCAGAGTCCGTTCGCTACTCCGAGTTGGGTTCCCCCAACTCGCCGCTTGGCGGCGCTGTCGCCCTTGCTTAGTAGCGCTCGCGCAGCCGCTGCTGGAAACTCTGTTGACGATTCCCGTCTATCGGTATCCGCGTGATCCGTGCTACGCTACCGGCGAAATCGAATCGAATGTAAACAAATATAGGCGCGACCTCCGGACAAAGGAAAGACTAAATAACGATGACTAGATTTAGTAAAGACTAACGTTCACTTTATTCAGGCAATTTAATTACACGGGGGTTTTGCCGAGAGACTTGCGCACGCTAGCGCGAATGACAGTATACGCTGTATGAGAGAGAGAGAGAAAACCCGTTCGCCGCGAACTAACCGCTCGCACGCAACAATTAATCCCTTCGCGCACGCTGCGCGGGATCGCACGCTATTAACAATAATAGGGGAAGGTGCACCTATCGCGAGAACGATGAGGATACGGTGGCCAACCGTATCCGATCAACACGCTGCTAATAAGCTGCTTCGCTGCTTGCCGCACCGCCGCGATTACTGTTGCAGCTGTTGCTGTTGCTGCCGCTGCGGATATTGCTGTTGCTGCTGTCGCTGCTACTGCTATTGCTGCTATTGCTGCTGTTGCTGCCCTCAGCACACCGCACCAACGTTCGCACCTCTGACCTCGCACTTCGCACCACCAAAACGAAAACGCGATAACGACACGGGAAAGGGTTAGCTACGATGTAGGCTGACTGAGTGATACAGTCATACTGCCTATTGAACGCTCCCCTCCCGGTCATTGCCCCTACGCGCCCTCTCTCTCTCGCGAACCGATCGCGGCGTTTCTCGAACAACCGCTAATTAACCTCGCGTGAGTCGAACGATTTTCGGTAATCGTTGCAGTAATTACTATTATCACCATTATATATTATATATTTATTATTCCATAGTCATAGCACTGACTTCAAGTTATAAGTATTAAGCCAAATATGTACAAGTTAAAGTATATCAAAATAAATAGAAATAATATCAATGCACATGGTACGAATTAATTTAAAAATAATAAATAAACATAATGAATGTGTACACGCCCCATACAAGCCCGTCGAGAGAAAGAGAGAGTAACACGATGTGTTACAGGAATTATACCGCGTTTTAATACTCATAATTTCAAAATAACTATTACTTTTGCCACAATGTACAGTTTCTCTTTTCCTTCATAAATTATACGTACACATACCATCTTCATTTCCTTTTTTTCTCAGCAAGTGATATACATATATTTTTTTTTGCTATATTTCATCGCCTCTTAAAATAAGCCTCCTGTGCAAGAGGGTACGTTATATCACATTCAGGTACACGGCAACGCAAGCCACTCAACACAACCATAACCTTGCACACACAGCTGAAAAAAGGGTAAGAGTGTACGTAACACATGGTGCAGGCATTCCCACATCTCGTGTACACGAAAACCTCGGGTTTTCGATTACGGCGGGGGCAGTGTAACGTGGTAAGCGATAGCTTACGACGTCACACATATTAATACCACAGACAAGCGTCAGGAGCCGCGCACACGAGCTGCTGACGAACTTACGACTTGTACAGAGAGAGAGAGAGAGAGCTAGGACCGAAGAGAAGGCAGCGCGCTCGCGACTATCAAGCACACATAGGTAATCACGAAGCGCGAATTAGAAACAGAGTGGGGAGCGGCGAAGATATCGGCCGCCGAATATCACACGAGCGAAGCCCCGTGGCTTTTTCGCTCCGTTCGCGGCACGCGACGCATCTTCCGCGATAGCACCGAAGACTCGTCGCTCGCGCGTGACCTTGACGACGAACGACCCTAACGGACGGCTTCACCGTCGGCCCAGCAAGCGCACGCGGCGAAGGCCCCTCCTGGCAGCGCATATCGAGGAGGTAAAATATCGGACGAGCGAGTGCAAACTGAGGGAAGGACCGCGATGTCCATCGCATAAGTGTAAGCATCGCCGTACATTACTCTCTCTCTCTCTCTCCCAATAAGCACATAGCTGTGCGATAGTCGGCTCGGCGGAGCCGACTGGTTTTGTACATTAGCGAGGCGAGGCGAGCCGATGTGGAATTAGCGACAACCGCTGCGAAAGTTTGACGCGTGCCTCTGGCACTGTAAGAGTAACAATTCAATAAAGGGATATGGAAGTCAATTCCGGACCGTCTTCTACTGGACGCTCGCACTCCTCTCCAATTGCATGTACATTACAGGTTTAAGCAGGAGTACGAACGCACGCCTCTCCGCGGGCAATCGCTAGCGCTGCGATTGTGTACACCTGAGCTAACCGGAACTCCTTCTGCGACGTGTGGTGCGATGCTAATTGTTGTCGACATTAGCTAGTCCGGGAGTACTAATATTATCGCACCGAGCACGTTACAATGGTTACAAAAAATATTACCCGAAAAGTAAGTATAAAAATTATTTTTATTTTTTGTTAGAAATTAAAATCATTATTAATTAGAAACTTTGTATGTGCCGTTGTAAATGCACAAAGATTGTTTTTATGGATAAAAGCTAGACGGAAGCAATCTGAAGTCGAAGGTATTGATGAAGTTGACAATATTACATATAAAAATTTAACTCAATATTTCGATATAGCGATGTCAACTACTGAAAATAAAGATTATAGACAGACTGTTTTCGTAGGCTCACCTTTAAAAGTATTGGTAACGTGTAAGTTCGTTACAAATATATATAAATATATATAGAAAATGACCTATAAAAATGGCCCTATTATTCTATTATTTATTATACCTGTCTAAAGATTTAGCATATAAATTAGGTGGTCCGGATTCCAATAGGGTATCGCTGATGGGATAACCCTTACATTTTTTTATACTACACATCTTTGCAGCTTTTGTAATTTTCATAATTTAAATATTTGAAATTTTTGCAAAACTTCCAAAATTATTAAAATTTGTCAAGCATATTTTATTATGCAGATTATCATACATATTAATTTTTATTTGCAGATTTTGAATATTTCGCATATTTACGCAAACTTACGCATATTTGCAGTTGACCTTGATATAAAAATATGCACGTTCCTCTAAGAGTTAAGTAACTTTACTTTTAGTTTCGATCTAAGCCGTAGTTCATCAGTAACTTGAGTTTACTTACAGTAGAGAAATGATCATAACAATGCTTTGCAAACGCATGCTTCATCAACTGTTAATTAGCTTTAGAAGAGTCGATATCATTTGATGATTAAACTTGTAATAATTATTAAAAATAATTATTAGTGGTGCATAGTATCAATTCATCTATTATTTTCAATCATTCATAGAGATTGTAATAGAATATTAAGCCAAAGTAGCGACGATCTCCGTGGATATAAAAAGAAGTCTTATCGTAAGATGATAAATTATATTTATTTATATATTTAATTTTAGGGAATAAGATTAACATTAATTTATTCAGTAATTACCTTAGAAAAATGATTGTCGCCTAATTTTACAAGTGGTGTCGTTGGAAACATACGTTGTGGAGACATGGATAATGACCCATTACGTAATATATACAAGTTACTCATAACGAGAAATAAGTCCGAGGTTTTCTTAACGGGTAAAAACCTACTTCGAGGAACGTGAATACCTGAAAATAAAATGAAATCTATTATTTATTTACAACACTAAATTTTTCATCGATCAACTGTTATTTATTACCAAGAATATTATTACAAGCTATAATATTGATTTGAAGCACTAAATAGAATGGTAGTACAATATTATCTAAAATACCGTTAATATTAAACGCCGTTATTTTTCATAATCTAACATGACATAAAATTTGATTTTAAAAGGGCTCATGAGGATGAGTCTGTAATAAAAAAAATACTTTACAAATTGTTTTGAAATTCATGCCAAAATTTAGTAAACTGTAAGAAAATTAAAAGTATAGTCTAATGGTTATTCGTATTATAACGAGTGTGAATGATACTTGTTATGTCTCTCTCCCATAGTCTAATTTATTAATATAAGCCAAATGTATATTATATGTCATTTTAATTTCAGTAGGCTGAAGCAAGGTAGGTAACAGAGAGAGAGAGAGAGAGAGAGAGAGAGAGAGAGAGAGAGAGAGAGAGAGAGAGAGAGAGAGAGACTGTTCGACTATCGAACGCGCGGACCGCGAGGAGGGCGCTTGATTTTCTCTTGGCGCGGCAGATTCGGCTATCGTTCTTCAACGCGAGCGTACGTGTTTAGCTGTCGATTCAATACTCGAGTCTGTACATCCTGGACAGTGTGATCTAGAGTGTGCGGTGTGAGAGTTTTTGAGCTGATTAATCGTGCAAGTGTGGAGTGTGTGAGTGACGGCCTCCTGCCACCGGCGCTAGTCTATTCGGGCCTATTATTTAATTACAGTTTGTAATTCGAGCGCCTATTGCGAGCCGACCTTCAAGGGGTAGCAACTTGTAAGTACTGCTGCGTACCTCATTCTCTTTCTCCCAATTCAGCTTCTTGCTTTCTCTCTCTTCTTTTTGCTTCGCCGCTCTTATATTATTTTTTGTAACATTTATCCGTTATTGTAATAAATAACACGCTTATTTCTTAACACGCGTCCATTTTATTCCGTCCTTCCGCCTATCCCCTCGACCTTTCAATCTCGCGCTTAGGCGTGCGAGTCTTACGCCGTGACCTAGCATTGGAGCTACGATGCCCCGACGACACCTGACGAGCCGAGCTGTTCCTGCCTAACCAAGCCCGGATTCTTTACTTGCGTTATCCGCAAATTGTCATATATTAATTTTTATGTCAACGGGACTGTTCCCCGTTACAGTATATAATGGTTTCAAGAGTTGAGTAGGTTTTATGGTGTTAGGGAGAGTCTCAAATTTTAAGTATACTGATGTGTGCTACAAATATTTTTAATTGAAAAACGACGAAATCAAAAAGCTTATTTAGAAAATAGTTTTAAAAATTAAGGTAAAATAAACTAAAAATGCTACATCTTATTCAAAAATTTTACTTTTTAGTCTCAAGCTTCCTAAATTGATAAATTTGTAAAAACTCAACCCATGCAAATCATGTTACTAATAAGGGAAGATTTATCTGAATCCGTTGGACCATGGATTTTGCTTAAATTAGATAATTCAAATATTCAAATAGGTAACTCAAATAGATATTCTATCATAATGAAAAATTACATTTCACTTCATAAGATAATACTTGTCGAAAAAGGGGTCTATTGTAATTTAAGAGATCAATAGTCAACAAAAGATATATAGCTCTCTCTCTCTCTCTCTCTCTCTCTCTCTCTCTCTCTCTCTCTCTCTCTCTCTCCCTGTCTCCCTCTTTCTCTCTTCGTTCGTTTGATTTACTATAAGTCTATTCATAACTTTCTCAGCAAGACCAGAACTGTCTCGGAATCATTTGGATTCCTTCGTCCGACATCGAGAAACTTTATTATTTTTATATGGCGGAGCGTACGCGCGGATCCTATTCATGTCTTCCCAGAGAAAGACCTTATCACTCTTAAGGGTTACATGTCACATCAAAATGGTCCTACACCTCGTCCTCATTAGAAAATTCTTGATCCATACCGTAGTACTTTGCGGCGGTGTAACAATCTCGCTCTTTCTCGTAAAGTACTTTTGCACACCGAATTACCCAACAGTGACCTAGTTTATCAGGTTAGTTCAATGGACAAACAGTAATACTCCTATAGTTGCGATGGTGGCTTCTATCCATGGGCTCCATGTGTGGCCTCAATCATTTAAATGATCTTTTAATGGTTGGATACTCACGTTAGTACTTTCAATGTTCCGCCGTTTACACAGTCCCAATCATGGATTTCTGTTTTGTCACTATCTTTGACTCTTCCTTTCCATATGATCGATAAATTAAGAGATTTTTTTCTCGCTTCTTCAGCATTGCACTGGCTATTTGCTGACTGGCTATTCAGAAAGCATTTGAGTTCGGGTTTCGATCGCCTCAACCCTTATTCTTACAAAATAAAGCTCACTCTTATACCAAATCGCGCTGCTCCACCCAGTGCTCTGCTATTTAGGTCTGTCGCTGTCACTAACATTCCTTTCTCACCAAGACATGAATGCATCTCCAGTTTATAATGCTTGATGATTTGATATGAACCCATAATGAATATCCATCGACCATGTGTCTTTCTTGCTGACTTATATTCATATTATCTGTCTAAATAATACCGACCATTTCATTCAACTCAAAATCCAAACTGGCAGCTGTTATTATAATATAATTATAATAGAATCTTCCTCAAGGACGACATCGTTGACTTACATCTTAACACCGCAATTAACAGTTTGAATTTTTTTCGCCATAACTGTGGATGCAAGAGGTGACATAGCGTAGACCTGAATATTTGGATATAGATACTGTCAAAGTCTTGGATACTTCATCAACTATTTTCAATAATTAGCCAAAATTTTTACTTGTTGAAATAAAGTGTAATAATCTTAATCTAGTTGCTAACGATCCGTCTTTCTTAGTAATATTGCCATTATACCATTGTTTTAAAAGAAGATTTTAATGTTGACCTTCGTTTGCCAATCCCTCAGGATGCCGCCACACTTCAATACCTGGTAGATACAAAACAGGCTCTGGATTTGTTTTTCATCTATTTTTCAAACTACATTCAGGCGGTGACTGATAAAGCTGTTTTAGTCTATGTGTAGCTTCATGCTACTTTAGGTATTCTGCAGGTATTATGCTTGGACCCCTGTTTTTATCGATCTTTATAAATGACCCCCCAATAATTATTTACTTTATCAATTACATCCTTTATGCTAATGATACTCAAAACCACGTTCATTGCGTCTGATAATAATAAGAGAATATCTAGAGCTCAGCTTTACCATTGAGTGGGAGAGCCACTTAGTTAAGATTATTAGAAATGCTAACCACTCTCTTTATTCTCTTAAGTTTTACCAGAGAATACTTCCACTTTAAATGAAGAAGAGCTCAATAGAAACCTTGGTTCACCTCAAAAATCTACATGATTTTCAAGAAATTTTGAGCAGTCCAATCGTAGGTTTTAACATCGAATGTCTCCATCTTCGTCGTCGTTCAATTCATCTCATTCAACTTTTTGAGTGATATTAGTACGCATATTTTACTTTATCGCCTTGTATATAATCCTAAATTAGAAATTTTCAATAATAATTTGCTACGGCAAACTTATTATATTATATTGTCTGCAATCGCTCATCACAATATTCAAGGGCTCGCTTCTCTCATTTAAATCTTAATGTCATTGCGGAATGATCACTGAGAAACCCATATCCTGCTTTCTATTTTAAAGCAAAGCAAGGTTTGGAAAATAACTTTCTCGATTCGTACGATACAGTTTCTCAGCGACATTAGTCTTCAATTTTTTTTGGAGAGTACGCAAATGAATTCAAATCCTGGTTTCTTACCCTTTTGCTTGATCTATAGCAGCCAGAGTTGAGAGTATCACTTGAAGGCATAACTAATCGAGAGGTTGTGATGAATCACCTCTTCGTTATGGTTTTTTCGAAGTCTCGGCTTTTTTATTCATTTGAACCATTCTGATTGTACCTGGTAGCTACCTCAGATTTAATTTTTTTCGCGAGTGACAATGAAGTCATAAATACTTATATGAGAAAGGGTCTTTAAATTCTTTCCTCTGTCAACGTTTGTTAATCTATATTTCGGACCCCATGACAATCACTACTACTATCATTATAAATTTAATTTGTTGTACTGATGTATAGCATCGGTAAGGCATTGATTTTCGTTCGACTTTTAATGTAATCTAGTTTTATGCGTTTGGTATAAGCTCTTTGTATATCACTCTTTTTTTATTTTTGGTTTACTTTATTGTAATTGACCAGCCTAACAGCATTTAGCGTTGTTACCGACTACTTCGCTTTTTATAATATTTACTCTTAAGACAACGACTTTCGATTCTCAGGCAATAAAATATCAAAATTTTTTAAATTTCTTTACTTAACTTTAGTGAAGAAGTCACATCCTTTGTGGAACCATTTAAATCTATAGAAAATATTGATACGAGGCTAACCATCATCTTGATCAACTGTTTAATAATCAGATGTTGTTGCGCTTACACTTTGAACAACTGAAACGTGTACCAAAGCGCGAAAGCAAGCAAGAGAGAAATTCAATTGAATACCGACTCTCACTACAAACGGGGATGAGGTAAATGTCAATAACAAACATCAAACATGACTTCAACTTAAGAAGAGTTATAACGAGCGGCCAGACCCTCGTTATGTCTCTCTCTCCCCGTACATAATTATAATTATTCCTATATATATATAATTATCTTATAATTATCTCACTTGTATGGCAGCTAAAGGTAAGTCAGAGAGAGCGCTAATAGAGGGCGAGCTAGGCAGAGAGAATTCGGGAGGCCGGCGCGACGCGCGCGAGTAAGAGAGTGGGGCAGGACAAAGCCTCGCGATAAGGACTCTCTCTTGTACCGGCGACTTCGAAGCACGTGGACGTGTGACGAGCGGCTATACACGTGCTTGCGATCTTTTGCTGTCCGACTTTTCGCAACTAACTTTTGTGACTGACATTTCGGTTGCCTGCGAATACGCGAGTGTCCACTCGGTGTAAGGTTTCGGTACCGAGATT